TGAAGAGCTCACAGCTTACAACCTCATCTTTGGCCAACCCACTCTAAATGAGTGTAAGGCTGTCAGCATTCCTGCTCTCATGCTACTCAAGTATGAGAAGGATGATGGAACAGTCGGTTCCCTCAATGGGGACCAGAAGACGGCTCGAGAGTGTTATCTCTCGAACGTCAAGCCCGCGGCCACATCATCCGGCCGAGGCAAGCAAATGATCAACCTCGACGATGTCGAGGAAGAACAGTCGGCCCCACCAGCTGGAAAGAAAAGAAAGACTGATCAGCTGGTGGTGGTCAAAAATGAAAAACAATAGCAATCACTGACTGGGGAATGGTCAGATGATCTCCGTCCCCAGCCTGCTGGCGAACACATTAATATCCCTCTGGACGACAGTCGCCCAGAGTGGACGGTTAAGGTGGGGACGGTTGCATTTGCTAAGCTGGATGAGAGCCTGCACCAGCTATTGAGAGAATTCAAAGACATCTTTGCCTTTGAAGTGGAAGAGATGCCAGGCATCAGCCCGGATCTCGCTGTCCACAAACTCGCCGTGGATCCTAAAAAAAAGCCCATCTGGCAAAAGAAAAGAAACCATGGCGAGGAAAGAAGTCAGGCGGCAGCCGCCGAAGTTAAAAAGTTGCTGGACGCCAAGTTCATTCGGCCGTGCAATTTCCCTGAGTGGGTAGCTAACGTTGTGTTAGTAAAAAAGCCGAATGGAACTTGGCGCATGTATGTTGATTACACAGACCTCAACAAGGCATGTCCAAAAGATAGCTATACACTGCCTAAGATCAACAGTCTGGTCGATTCAACAGCCGGACATGCCCTGATGAGTTTTATGGACGCCTATTCAGGTTTTCATCAGATCCCCCTTTGGAAAAAAGATCAAGAAAAGACGGCATTCGTCACTGATCAGGGGTTGTTCTGTTATACGGTGATGCAGTTTGGTTTGAAGAATGCGCCTGCTACTTTCCAACGAATGATTAATACAGTCTTCATTAATCAAATCGGAAGGAATGTAGAGGCGTACATTGATGACATGATAGTCAAATCCAAACAACAGGCGGATCATCTTGCTGATCTCCGAGAAACATTCTCCACACTCAGGCGGCACAAGGTCATGTTAAACCCAATAAAGTGTGTCTTTGGTGTTGAGTCTGGGAAGTTTCTCGGATTTTGGATTGACCAAAGGGAAATAGAGGCCAACCTTGAGAAAATACAGGCGGTAATCGACATGCAGTCGCCCCGTACTATGAAGGAAGTGCAAAAGTTAACAGGTTGCCTGGCGGCCTTGGGGAGATTCCTCAGTCGGTCAGGCGACAAGTGTCTATACTTCTTCCAGGCAATCAAAAAGAAGACCAACTTTGAATGGGGGGACGATGCAGAGGCGGCCTTTCAGAAGCTGAAAACTCATCTACACTCTTTGCCGAGGCTTGTTATCCCTTTGCCCAAACAAAAGCCATTCATGTATTTAGCCGTCTCTGATCATGCCCTCAGTGCCGTTCTCTTAGCTGAAAGAGACGGCATCCAGCTCCCGGTGTATTTCATTAGCCATGTTCTTAGGAACGCAGAGCTTCGGTACGCATGGTTGAAAAATTTGGCCTTGCCCTTTACATGGCCATCAAGAAGCTAAAACCCTACTTCTTAGCACATGCGGTAGAGGTTTATACTGACCAACCGATCAAGCGGCCGCTCACAACTTTGGAGTCTTCTGGACGAATGCTTAAATGGGCGATTGAAATGCAAGGATTAGAAATCACTTACGGACCAAGGAAGGCAATAAAGGGGCAAGCATTCGCCGACTTTATTGTTGAAATGACAAGGCCGGTTGCACCGGACAATACTGACCAGGTTTGGAAAGTGTATGTGGACGGGAGCTCCACTGCGAACGGCTGTGGTGCAGGGATTATCTGTCAATCTCCTGAGGGATAATTATGAATATGCACTATGGTTCAAGTTCCAGGTCTCTAATAATGAGGTCGAGTATGAGGCCCTACTAGCCGGCATTCGGTATTGCAAGGCGGCAGGGGCAAAGAAAATTGACGCCTGCTCCGATTCTCAACTGGTCGTACTCCAGGTCAATGGAACGTACGAGGCCACTCATCTGGCCATGATAAAATATTTACAGGCGGTCAAAAGTGAAGTTGGGACACTTGAGGAGTTCCATCTAACTCAGGTGCCCAGATCTTCAAACAATCAGGCGGATGCTCTGTCAAAACTAGCATCACCCGCCTCCTGTGAAACACCTCGGTCGGTTTTCTAGGAGGTCATGGAAAAGAGAAGTATATCTAATGAAGACCCCATTGGAATTCTCGACCGAAGCTCTACCTGGATGGACAACATCCAGGCTTATCTTGCAGACGGCACGCTCCCTGATTCACCCCAGGAGGCGGCTGTTCTGAAGAAGAAAGCATAAAACTTCGAGCTGAGACAAGGAGAACTCTTCAAAACTGGTTTCTTGAAACCCCTGTTGAAGTGTGTTACCCTAGAGAAGGGTAAAGAGGTCCTCGAAGATTTGCATGCGGGTTTCTGCGCCTCCCATATAGGCGGCAGGTCTTTAGCTGCCAAGGCCAAGCGACTCTATTTCTGGCCTACTCTGGAGTCGGATGCCATGGAAATGGTCAAAAAATGTGACAAGTGCCAAAAGTTTGGCAAGCTCGTCCATCGTCCGGCCACAGACCTAACGGCCATCCACAGCCCAATACCCTTTGCCAAATGGGGCATGGACATACTTGGGCCTTACACAGCAGCACCAGGCGGCAAGCGCTACATATTGGTAGCTGTGGATTACTTTACCAAGTGGGTAGAGGTGGAGGCGGTCAAAAACATCAAGACAAAAGATGTCATTTCCTTCATCTGGAGGAATATTATCACTCGTTTTGGGGTGCCCATGTCTATGGTTTTTGACAATGGTCCTCAATTTGAGACGCCTCAACTCAAGACTTGGCTGGGAGACCAAGGGGTCTCAAGCTTCTTTGCATCAGTCGGCCGGCCTCAAGCAAACGCCCAGGTCGAAGCCTTCAACAAGCTAATCTCAGACGGGATTAAAAAGAAAATTGAACGGGCTGGTGGCCTTTGGGCAGATGAATTACCACACGTCCTCTGGTCCATCAGAACAACTGCTAAAGGGGCGACTGGAGAAACCCCATTCCTCATGGTGTATGGTGCAAAAGTTGTCCTGCCCATTGAACACTATGAACCGACTTTTTAAGTCATGTTATATGATGAAGAAGTAAACTGGGAGGCCATGCGGCTGGCATTGGACTCACTTCCAGAGCGCAGGGGCAATGCTGCCTTGCGCCATGAGATTTACCGTCTCAGAATGACTCGGGCTTACAACAAAAGAGTACACAAGCGTCCTCTCTAAGTGGGGGACTTTGTGCTACGGAAAATGGAGGCAGTCGGTAGGGCGAATGAGCAGGGAAAGCTAACCCCAAATTGGGAAAGCCCCTACCGAATATATGAGGAAGTAAGAGACGGCACCTATCGCCTGGAAGAACCAGACGGTAGGCAGCTACCTAGAACTTGGAATGTAGATAACTTGAAAAAGTACTATTTCTAAGTACGAATGTAAATACCTCAAATTTTGTCATTTCAAATTTTGTTAATGAGAATATGCCTTCATTTCCCAACTTGTCTTTTTTATTAGCGTTGCCTGCACAAAATACAGACGGCCAATGTATTTGGAAAGCGTCTGTCCCAACAGCAGACGCCCTAATCTCTCCGAAGGAGCCAACTGCTTTAAAGCAGTCGTTCCTACGAAAATCTTTAAGTTTATGCCAACACTTAACGAATATCTGCTTAATTCTTTAAAAGGCCTAAGGCCAGATAAAATCATTTTAAGGCCAATGGCCGGATGTTATTAAACAAATAGAGGTCGAACGGTCACAGTCTGCTCCAACATGAGTATGACCGTCTGCTCCAACATGAGTCAGATAACCGGCGACGTCCATTCGGGCGAATTCGTCGAGGAGAAGCATCTCCTATTTGGGTGGCACATTGCTCTACGAATACATCAAGCGGCCCTACCGAATGCTAAGACATCATTCGCAATCGTTTGATTTAATCGAAAGTGAAATCTAAAAGGCCAGAGTTTTCTAACTGTTCCAGCACAGTCGGAAAAGGGTCATTGTTTCATAAGTAGAGGCTATTGAGGCATTAAGCCGAATGTGCCTGTTTTTGCACTGGGGCAAGACAGGAGGAAAATTTTGCTAATCTACAAGTTAAGTTAACTTATGAGGCCTTTGGCCAGATACGCCTGTTTCTGCCCAAACGCAGGACATACGGACAATTACTTACGAAAAAAAAGAGCTAAAATACTTAGCAGATTAAAAAAGAGACCTATGGGTCGGATGCGCCTGTTCTTTGCTCTTGGGGCAAGACAGGCGGATTATTCTTCTTAAGTAAAATTAAGACTAAGTTAAAACTTAGCATCTTATCTCGACGAGGCTTATGGCCGAATGCGCCTGCTATTAGCTCTTGGGGCAAAACAGGCGAAGGTTTTCTTTTTAGCAAATTTGCTAAGTCAGAATTTTGTATTTCGTTTGTGCCAATGGCCGAATGAAAACAATTATTCATTAGCTCAGATGGTCGTCTGTCGTGTGGTTTGGGGCAATCACCATAGTGATTGATTGACTTAGAAACAATGCATACTCTTCTAAGTATCAATAATTTCTAAGCCAATCAATCCAATCAACCGAAACCACTCGACATCCGTCCAGGGGCAAGAACATTCGCATGGTATATAGGTTATAATAATTAGCCAAAAAACATGCAATGAAAAAATTTAAAGAACAACAATATGAATAACTTCATCCAAACGGCCGAATGATTTCAAATTAAAAAGTCCAATCGCCACCAGACGACTGGGTAAGATTGTTTGCTGGCAAAGTTAGAGAAATTGTTAATTTACCCGACCCCTCGGTCGGTAAAGATACACATTCACTCGGCACGCAGGCCGGAAGATGAGATAAATGGCCATTCGGACGCAGAAAGAACTTATAAAAAGCTTAAGGGGCAAGGGAGTTATCAACATTGGCAGCCGCATCATCACCTGCCGGTTGCTCCGCATTTTCATCATTCTCCTCGTCCCCAGAAGAGCCTGATGAGGAGTCGGCCTCTTCGCCCTCAGCATCAGCCTTTTTTGCCTCCTCTTCAGATTGGCGAAGAAGTTCAACATTGAAATCCTCATTTTCTTGATCAAACATGGATTTCCAGGTGCTATAGTCAGCACCCGGCTGTACTGCCTCCCATGCCATCCGCATGATGGCCTCATAGTCCTCCATCATTTGTTTAACAAGGGCCTCCTTCTCCTCCTCAGCTCGGGACTTGAACTTGGACTTCAGCTGCTTCTCCTGGTTCACCAGGCGCACCTCCAGGCGGCCAACCCGCTCCTTGGCCTTCTCGGCCTCTTTCTTGGCCTCTTGAAGAGGCTCAAGCTTGTCCTTAAGACCTTTAATTTCGGCCTTAAGGTCAATGATTTTGGAGCGAGCCGAATCCAGGTCCTTCTTTACCTACAGGTTGGCATCCGCCTGGGAATACATCATATCAAGGGTCAGAAGCTCATTTTGACCAATTTCAAATTGAGCTCGATCTAAGGCGGACTTGGCTCGAGCTTTAGCGGCTGTTACCTCTTTAGACTTCTCCTGGATTGGCCTTCTTAGCCCTTAGATGCGCAGCATAGCCTGAAAATGAGAAAAGAGCCGAATGGTCAAGACCAGTCGGATATGTGCTTAAATAATAAGAAAATTAAGCTAACTTTTTACCTCACAGAGGTTCCCCAAGATGGCATCCAAGTTAAGGGTGCTGACTCCTCTTACGGACGCCTTGTCCTCTAGGTCAAGCGCCCTCATCATCTCCTTGGCCATCTGAACGACAGTCGGCCTTTGCACAGTAGCTGCAAAATAAAGTTAGTCAAGGAAGTTCTAAGAAACTATCTTGATGTAGAAATTCAATAAAGACGCGGTTTATACCGTTCGGCTGAACCTCCTCCTCCTTCCCGTGACGCCTCTTTTCTCCTGCTGAGCCGACAGCAGTACTGGGTTGCTTAAAGCCACCCTTCGATGCCTGAGTAGCATCCGGTTTGCTGACCTCCTTGTCAGCTTCGAGAGTAGAGCCGTCCCCTTTCTTGGGATTGTGAGCAATGTGCTTCCGGTTCTTGCCGGATGCACTCACATCACCAGCCCTAGTTTTCTGAATTTTGGGTTGGGATTGCTTGGAGGGAGATGGCCTGGTGGAACCACTCTGCATGAGCAAAAAGAAAGGCGTCAGAAAAACAGGCGGGCAAAAATTAACCTTTGTTGAAAAATATACCAGGTGTTATAAATAGCTACCTTGGGAGTCCCGACTGTTTTCTACTCGTCGCTCGCCCGATTAAGGACGTTCGAGCGATATTTTGCTGCAGAGACAGCAGCCGGCTTCCTTTTTGTCGAGACCTTTTCCATAGCTTTGTCTGCACCAAAAGAAGGAATTAGACTTTATAAACAAACATTGAAAAGCTATTTAAAGGTTGCATAAAATCAGACAGCCGACTACCTCTCGGATTCTCAGAGCTTAGCCCACAAGCGGCAAAGAACACCCCATCTTCTAGCCACTTGTAAAGGGGAATGTAGCTCTGGGGGACGACTATTTTCTCCCCCTGCTCATTTGTCCGAACGGACACTTTGAACAAACCCCGGTCAAAAATTTCCTCCTGGGCCCACCTAAGGAGAGGGGGCAAGGCACTCTTGCCAGCCATGAGGGGCGGATCCTTATTCCACCTATTGTATTTTTGGTTCAGTCGGCTATCAGAGGAATGGACTATGTAAAACTTTGTTCTCCAGTCCTTCCACTTGTTTTCCTTGCCGACTGCCATCATGTACCCCTTGCAGGTGGACAAGGTGTACCAGCCTTCGCCGCCCTTAGCAGGCGCTCGGCTGAGATAATGCATGTGGGCGAATGCCTCAAAGCTGGAATCCACCTCCAGCATTTCACATGCGGCAACGTACCCGATGATATTAATCCATGAATTCGGGACAAGTTGCCAAATACCTAGTTGGTATCCGTCCAGTATTCTCTCCACGGCCGGATGGAGAGGGAAGCGTAGACCAGCCTAGAGGACCGCCTCGTAGCAGCCGAATGCTTGGTCCTTATAACTGGCCAAGGTCAGCCAGGTTATCGTATCATCCTTGTTGGGAACAGACAAGGAAAAGCCATGACCCATTACGGTCTTGCGCTTGAAATTGGCAAGACCGGATGTCATAGAAGTCCGCTTACTTGGCGGGACATGATGATAGTAGGGGGCGCGTTCCAAGCGCCTAGAAGCACTCGGCTCCGCCCAGCCTTCCCCCTTTTCCACTAACAAGGATTCCCTTGCAGTGCTTATCTTTGCTCTGGCCTCCTCTGAAGTAACGGAGGCATTTTCAGAAGATGACGAGGCCGAATCGTCATCAGAGCTCTCCCTAGAGCTAGGGGACTGCCGGCTGGGGCTAGCAGGGTCCTCCCCTAGACTCTCCTCCGGCGCCTGTTCTGAAGACTCGGCCTGGTATTGACTGTCGACTTCCCGCAATATAGTATCACTGGGGGTGCCTCTTGAAGAAGGGGAAGAGTAATAAGTTGGAGTTTGGGGAAGGTCAGAGGAAGGGTTTGGGGGGGGCTCAGAAATTTCACTAGCAGGCACCCTAATGGAGCCATCAGAGTTGACAGTCTCACTGTCCGAATGGTAAAAGGAACCATCTGCCCTATATCTCCTCGTTTTCTGCTTTGTTCTGGCCATCGTGTCTTGTAGATGCACAGATACTGTCGGATTTGGAGATGTATTTAAAGGAAAGTTCTCGAACGAGCATTCGGCACTCCTAGTTCTAGATTCAGCCGTCCCCGGTGACAAGCTGATCGCTAACCTAGGTCGTGCCGTGTGCGTTTGGGAAACCATTTGATAAAGAAAAATGCAAGAAAGAATAAGTAAAAGAAGAGAGCAGGCAGTTACCTTAGAAGAAGGTATTATGAGATGCCTGGTTTGCTGAAACAGACGGACAGAAAGCCGGGCGTCGGATGCTTGATAAGTTTAGGTCTTTGAGAGTCTTTGAAAGTCAAAAGTCCAGAGATTCTCCAATATTCGCAAAGGTGTGAAAACAAAAGGGGAGTCAAACCCTCCTATTTAGAGAAAGGGTAAACCCTAATTTTTCCCCCCAAAATGTAATTTGAAAATCCAGCCAGTTGGATGATGACACCTGTCACAGGTGTCATGTGCAATGCACGTCACCCCTGTGAGGGGAAAATGATTTGGGTATTTTTATACCCGGCCAGGTGGCCCAATCGGAAGCGGCCACGTGTTATTAGAAGGGGTGCCATTTGGACCTTTGAGATGGTGACACGTGGTAGGCAGACATTCCCCCGTTCTGAGATGATTGATGATCCAACATGGACCATTAATAGGGCGACACGTGTCACCCTAAGAGATGCCCAAAAGCCTTTTGGGCTCAGTGACACGCGTCACTCAGGCATTGCTTATGGAATGGAGGCCTTCAAGGGCCCAAACCTTGAGGCGTCGTTTTACGGCATGACCTAATCCCTAAGTCACCAGATTCTAGGGAGGGCACACTTTTCAAAAAGACCCTATAAATAGGGACAATTCCTACATTTATGACAGGAATACACGCAATACAAGACAACACGTCACTTTCACATTTATTACAGAGCTGTCATTTTCAAGAAACAAACAGCACCTTGCCTGAGCTTGGAATCCGAGCAGATAACTTTATTTCCGCACGTTTTACTCTGAATACTTACTAACTTAATCTTCGGAGGTGGACCAATGACCATCCTGCGGTCTGTTTGCTTTGCAGGTACAGGCGCCCTTTGCTGAATCCAGTCTCAGTGTTGTAACTCTCCCAAGGGACAAAAACCCCCGAAACAACGCGTTTCAGATCATCCATATGAGTTTCTTTCGGATCATGCATATGTAAGCAAACCTGTTGCACAGCATAAGAAATATTCGGCCTTGTAAAAGTAAGATACTGTAGCGCCCCAGCAAGGCTACGATACAAGGTGGGATCTGCAAAAGGGGAGCCCGAAGCACTGACTTTCGGCTTTGCTTCAACAGGAGTGGCCGAAGATTTGCACGAACTCATCCCTGCCCTGTCAATAATCTCCTCAGCCTACTTACGTTGTGACAAAAATAGTCCACCCTTATGCCTTGTCACAGCAATGCCAAGAAAATAATTTAGAAGACCCAAGTCCTTCATAGCAAATTCCTTGCTAAGAAGAGAAATAATAGAATGCCTTAGAGCATTAGAGGAAGTTGTAAGAATAATGTCATCAACATATAGCAACAAATAAGCCACATTCAAGCCATCACGATAAATAAAGAGAGAATTGTCACTCTTGCTATTAGTAAAACCAATAGAAGTAACAAAATCAGCAAACCGCTTATACCAAGCCCTGGATGCCTGTTTAAGACCATATAATGATTTCCGCAACAAACATACATAATCAAGATGAGTCTTATCACGGAAACCAAGAGGTTGATGCATGTAGACAGTCTCATTAAGCTCACCATGCAAAAAAGCATTCTTAACATCAAGCTGATGAATTTTCCAAGCTTTGGACAATGCCAAGCTAAGCACGGTATGGATGGTAGCCGGTTTGACCACCGGGCTAAAAGTCTCCCCACAATCAATGCCAACCTGTTGTGTTTTTCCATCACCTACAAGACGGGCTTTATGCCTCTCAAAAGAACCGTCAGATTTCACCTTATGAGTAAAAATCCACATAGAACGAATAACATTCACATCAGGCGGACGGGGCACCAACTCCCACGTCTTATTATTAATAAGAGCATTAAATTCATCATCCATAGCTATTTTCCAATTCGAGTCACGTAAAGCAGAAATGGGGTTACGAAGGAGAGGAGATTTCGTAATATTAGAAACCATAGTATTGAAATTTTTATATTTCGGGTTTGGCTTAACAATACCATTTTTGCTTCTTGTGACAATAGAAGGAGGTGGAGTGGGATGTGGAACCGAAATCTGTGGGATAGGGGGAGGAAAGGAAGCACGTTGGGTTGCTAGTTGGGTAGGCGGCAAGTGGGTCGTGGTTGATTGAACAAGCCCACGGTCCACGTGCAACCTATTCTGCCCAACAGCATCATCTATGCTAGGAGGAGAGTTAGGGGAAGAATTTGGGACGCGGCTTGGGCTAGGAGGAGTAGAAGGGCGCGGCCCAGAGTGTGGGGTAGGAGAATGAGGTGGGCTGGTGTTGTCAGCAGGCCCAGGGGACGTGTGGGCTATGTGAGTAGGCTGCCCAGACGTTGGAAAAATGGGAAGTTGCATATAGGGAATTAAAGAAGGATGGAAGTCCTCATCTAAGAAATCATAAGTGTGAGAATTGGGTGTATGCAACTTTGAAAATTGAAAAACCGATTCATCAAACACAACATGTCGACTTATGAAAATCCTATTAGAAGATAAATCATAACAATTGTAACCCTATGATTAGGTGGGAACCCCAAGAAAACACAAGGTGTAGATCGAGCTTGAAGTTTATTAATAGTAGTGGACGGAAATAAGGGGTAACACAAGCAACCAAAGACACGTAAATGAGAATAAGACAGCTTTCTTTGATATAGAACCTCTAGAGGAGACCTAGACTCTAGTAACTTACTTGGAATTATGTTATGAAGATAAGTGGCCATTTGTAATGCATGATGCCAAAATGAAGGTGGTAATGAGACATGCGCATGAAGGGTGCGAATAATATTGTTCAATGACCTTATTTTTCTCTCGGCCTTCCCATTTTGTGACGAAGTATGAGGACATGAAAGATGAAATGACATACCATTAGACTCACACATAGCCCAAAAAGGTTCGTTATCATACTCCCTCCCATTATCACATTGAAATGTTTTAATAGGTCGTTCAAATTGGGTTCGAAATAATGCTTGAAATGCTAAAACTTTATCAAAAACATCCGATTTCTTAGCTAAAGGAAATGTCCACAAAAATTTCGAATAATCATCCAAAATAAGCATATAATAACGATGGCCCGATGAACTCAAAACGGGTGATGTCCAAAGATCACTATGAACAATATCAAATGGCATAGTAGTAGTAGAAGTAGAAGAAATAAATGGCAATTTAACATGTTTTCCAAGTACACATGAATGACAAACACTAGAACTATAGGAGTGAGTACATTTAATGCTTTTATTGTTACTAAGAGTCTTTAAAATAGAAGATCCCGGATGTCCCAATCGATCATGCCAAAAAGAAGAAGCTAAGGCCATAAATGTTGAAGGAGAAGAATGAGAGAAAGTGGTAGTGAGTGGATAAAGGTCCCCTTGGCTATCACATGTCATTATGGGCATCCCCGTCCGATAATCCTTCACAGAAAAACCATAAGGGTCAAACTCCACATACACACAATTATCAGTGGTAAACTTACGAACCGAAATTAGATTTTTAATTAGTTTAGGGGCATGTAGGACATTAGAGAGAGACAAGGGAGGATTAGGGGACGGCAAAATAGTGTTTCCACAACCATGAATTGAGATAGTATGACCACTACCAACAATAATACCATTATGATGATTGCTCAAATTAAAATAACACGAGATATTACCGTTGGTGGATGTCATGTGAGAAGTAGCACCGGTATCCATGTACCACGAGGGATCGGGATGCTGTAGAGACATGGTGTGGAAAACCGACATAAGAAGGAGACTGTGAAGCAGCATCAGCTTGAGGTTGGGGTCGTGGACCAAGAAGTCCTTGCTGCTGTTTTGGTGGGCCTTGAGGCCTAGCCCAACCTTAGGTTGGATATGGGCAAGGTGGAACAGCCCACATCCAACCCCAAGGTGGGTAAGCTTGCTGTTACCAATTGGGAGCCATACCCCATTGCTGCTGCTGCCCGACGCCACCACGGCCAGCACCAGAACCTGACCCGCCGGCGCCTGAACCCGGACTACCACCTGCGGCAGAACCACGGCCACCACCGTTCTGCCCTTTTCGGCCAAAATTTTTCTTCTGATGTTTACTCTTCCCGCGAGCATTTCCCGAGCCATCCAAACTCGAATCACCATCATGAGAGGTCGCCAACAAAGCAGAAGCAGAACCCGAAGCCGTTGCTGCTCGTTTTTCCAAGCCCGCCTCCTCCAAGGTAAGCATCGAACGAGCTTGGTAAAATTGAGGGAGAGGAGAGCTTTGTCGTATAAGGGTAGCAACTCCATTATACGGTTTGGTGAGGCCCGAAACCAACTGTAGAACGAGTTGATTATTGTCCACCGGAGCTCTAACATTCCGCAATTGATCGGAAAGACCCTTGAGTCTTTGACAGTAAGCCGATGCATTGGGAAAATCCTCCATTTTTGTAGGGGAAAATTCTTGTTCTAGAGTTACAGCACGAGAGTTTTGATTGTCTTGGAATATATCACGCAACCTATTCCAAGCCTACATTGTCGTAGCATCGGGTCCATAATTGTCTGCAAGAGATCATTAGAAATAGTGGAATAAATCCATGAGATCACGGCTGCATCCAAAGTCAACCACCATTCTTGCTCCTCATCGGTGAGAGGTGCTTTCTCCTTCCCCTTATCCTTAGACTTGGGAGGGATAATATGGTCTAGAACCCGGTGAGAACGAGCCTGAATTTTAAAGATTTCCGCCTAAGTAGAGTATTGTGATTTATCAAGTTCAAGAACCACCGGAATTGAGGTCTTGATGTTGCTCACCGTAAGTGAGGGATGAGACGAGGTCTTTAAATCCCCCATAGGTAGAAAAACAGAGAAGAGATGAGATGAGATTGAGGAAGAAGAGGGCGGAAAATATTATTAGGGTGCAGCGGAATAACCCTAAGCAACTGATACCATGAAGGAAATGTAATCCGTGAGTTTTCCATTAGACTTGCTCTGAATATATACACATTACATGCTTATCTTAAGCCACAAATCAAGGGATAGCTATACACCAAAATATATGCTAAGCTACAAGTTAGGAAAACCGAATATATACATATATACTAAGTCAAAGATATATTAATACTAATATATTTTAACAAAACTAACGAGTATCACGAATTTCCTACACCAAGTGTCCAAGTTATAAAGAATTTTTTTAGCAGAGAACCGAAGAATATTATGAGGGAGTGATGTGAAAAGATAAATATGTATCATACACACAATACAACCAATTCGTTGTACTTGAAAAATGGCCCTTATTAGTAATGCATGATTTGTACACCCAAGATGGTGCACCCGTTAAACAAAAAAAAAGGCAGAAAAACATTCAAATGTTTGAAAAAGAACATGTTTGTGTTTAATAAAGAACATGTTAAAAAAAAAAAAAAAAAAAAAGAAGGAACATGCTTTACTAAAGAATATAAAGACATTACAAAAAGAACATAATAAAAACTTTATTAAAGTTTCATGAAAAATTATACATTCATGGAAAAATCTAAGATATCATTTCACCTAAAATAGTTTTATCTTCCTCCAAAAATTTAACTTTCCATGATAAGGGCCTGTTTTGATTCACTGAACTGAGCTGAACTGATCTAAACTGAACTTATTGGAGCTGAACTGAATATTTTATGAGAGAAGGAAATTAAGATAAGAACTCAACTGAACTTATTGGAGCTGAAATAAACTGCATTGAAAATAAGCTGAAGATAACAGGCCCTAATTTCAGTTTTCTCTCTCCAAAATTATTTTTAACTAAAACTAATTCAAGATTTAGTTTTCAAATTAAATTTTAAATTTCAAAAAACATATGTTAAAAGAACATATGTTATAATGTACATAATATATGTTCATTGTCAAACGTATCATGAAACATATATAGGTATGTTATTTGTCAAACATAAGTAAGTTATTTGTTTAACACGTTATGTTCTTTATCAAACAACAGTAGGTTCTTTCTACCTTAGCTTCCGAGTACTCCATGCAGGTGTACTATATTATTTTCACCTTAGGTTTAATTTTTCCCATCTTATCATAGCTAGGGTTGTGGACACCTACTTTTGGCCTCATGTCCCGACCGAAAGTTTGTCTACTACCTCCTTTAAGTTTTCTTTTGAGGTGTAACCTGGATCCCAAGTTAAAATTTCATACTGGTGATTATGGAGTGAAAGGGTTTGTAATTAAGGATGAGAGAGATAAATTAAACCTGATTAGTAAACTACCCAAGCCACTCTGTTGGACTTATTGATTTCGATGACGACACAACCTTACTTACTTAATTACAAACTAATAAGTGCTTGATTGTTTAAGTGTGTGCTCAGTTGCAAAGACCGGGAGAATTAAGTGTCTTGTAAAGATACCATGAGGAATAAGAAGGCCAGAAGCAGAGCTATCCATAAAGAAGAGTTCCTTTGCAGGAAATGGTGCTTCAGAAATGAAGACTTGAGAAGAGAAGGTTCCCCTTAGGGAACAGAAGCTTCAGAGAAGAAGCCTCATCAGAGAAGAGAAGTTCCTCCCAAGGAACAGAAGCCTCGGAGTAGAAGCTTCATCAGAAAACATGAAGACTAAATATATTTTTATATTTTAGGATTTATGTAAGAATGAGATATTAAGTTGCACTCGAAAATTATGTGTGGAATTGGTCCAAAAGATAAAATTGTGCATGCTAGTTTTTAGGAAAACTGTTGCTTTCTAAACGTTTATCTTTTTTCAAATTAAAAGGGATTTTATTTTATTTCTGATTTTCTAAAATATCTTCTAAAAATAAAATCCCCCACGTTTTCTAATAACTTGCGGCCTACTCCTCCATGATTTTCTTCAAGTCATGGTCTTGCACATTGAGGAGCTCATGTTTCCTTAATTTTAGGAACATGATCTTCTTAGTGGGTTGGAGTAGCGGCGTAGTGGATTTTCTGCACAAAGAAGTTTTTCCTAAACGAATTTTGGTCTATAAATAGCTATTGATTTCAGATGGAAAAACCCACCCTTGCTCACATAAGTTTTCAAGCTTTAATTCGAGTTAAGAGTCCAATTTCACACAAGTTAAATAGAGTGTTCTTAATGTTCTTATACTAGAGTTTTTATTTCTTCTTTCGAGTTGTAATTTGGGGAATGGGGAAGTTTGAGTGAACTTTTGAGTATAAGAAAGAGAAGGGAAAGAGAAGAGAAAGAGAAGAGAAAGAGAAGTGAGAACAGAGAAGTAAGAAGAGAGAAAGAGAAGAGAAGAGAAGAGTAACAAGTTGGGTGACTTGTTCCTCGGGGTTTTCAAGTTCGTTGAGGAACTTAAAGTTTGAGTCTTTAGTTTGTAATATGTCCATTTGCCCTATTATAGTGAAGATTCTTTTCCCAAAATCCCAAGTGGTCGTGGTTTTTCTCCTTGTTAGGGCCAAGAAGTTTTCCACGTAAAAATCTCTCTTGCATCTTCTAGTTCCTTTAGTTAATCTTTCTGTTCCTTTAGCTTACTTAGTTTTAATTCCGAAAAAGTTTGGCTAAACTCTCATACTACAATTCAACCCCCTTTCTTGTAGTATTCTTTGGAACAACAATTGGTATCAGAGCCTAACTTCTAGGAAAATCAGGAAACCCTGAAGAAGAAAGGTCTTGGAGAAAATGAATGCTCATGAAAAGCTCGAGGAAGGATACTCAACTCAGAGGCTTCCTATGTTCAACGGCAAGTTCTATACCTACTAGAAGAACCACATGGAGATCTTTATCAAGGCAGAGAGGAGGGTCATCGAGGTTGGTGATTTCAAAGTCACCAAAAAATTGCTCAGAATGAGGTAATCCCTAAGCCTATGTCTGAATATGAGAAAGAGGACTTTGATAAAATGGAAATAAATGTTATGGCTGTGAAATTGCTCCACTGTGGACTTGGACCTCATGAACACAATCGTGTCATAGGGTGCAAGAACGCTAAGGAAATCTGGGATTTGCTGCAGATCACTCATGAAGGAACCAATGAGGTTAAACGCTCAAAAATCGATCTACTTATGTCTAAGTATGAAAGATTTGAAATGCAGCCTAAGGAAACCATTCAAGAAATGCTAACCCGTTTTACTAACATCATAAATGAGTTGGTTTCCCTTGGTAGACAAATTCCTATAGATGAGCATGTTAGGAAGGTTCTTAGAAGTCTTCCACAAGATGAGAGATGGAGAGCTAAGGTGACAGCCCTTCAGGAAACGAAGGACTTTACTAAGTTCAATATTGAACAACTAGCAAGTTCTCTCTGACTCATGAGCTACATCTTGGAGTCAACAATGAACCCATGAGGAACAAAGGATTATCTCTAAAGGCTGATAAGGAGGAAGACTCAGAAGTGGACGAGGATGAGGCTGCCCTAATTGTGCAAAGATTCAAGAAGATGATCAAGAAAGGCCGAACCTCAAGGAACTTCGGAAAAAAGACCTCAAATCTAAAACCTGACTACAGCTGCCACAAGTGTGGATCCCCATATCACTTTATCAGAGATTGTCCCCTTTGGGAAAATGATAAAGGGAAAGCAAAGGCTAAGGAACAGGGAAGAGAAAAATTCAGCAAAGCAAACTATCAAAAGTTAGACATGAGGAAGACCATGATAGCAGCCTGGGGAGACTTAGACAGTGAAGAAGAAGAGGAGGACCAACCAGAAGAAGAGACAGCTAATCTTTGTCTATTGGCTAAATCAGATGATGAAAAGGCCTCCCTTGAGGAACTCCAGAAAGAGGTATTTCTTGATCCTAAACAGCTTAAAACTCTCTCTAAAGATGTCTTAATAGATAAATGTCTGGAAGAAGAAGAATTCTTTAAAGATACATGTGTGAAATTGAATAAATGTTAAAAAGCTCTTAAGGTTTGCAAAGAACATGGTGCTTGGTTGGAAACAGCCTATGCCAAGCCTCAAAGCAAATGAAGAGAGCTTGATTTTAAATACAAATACATAACTGAGATAGCTGATAGAATTAAGAATGAAAGTATTCTTCTGAATGTTAAATTAACTCCGTATAAGCTCATAAATTCTTATATTTGTTGTAGCAGTTCCTCAAGCGATCATTTGCTTAAATTCAATGTTGATTTTAGAAGGAACAAGAAGAGGGAACACTTATACAGTTGACCTCAACTTAATCCCAAGGAACAACCTTACATGTCTGAGTGTTGTTGAAGATGATCCCCTGCTATGGCATAAACGTTTTAGACATGCTAGCTTTTCATTACTGGACAAGCTGGGGTCAAGGAACTTGGTTGTGGGACTTCCTATAATCAAGTTCCTACAGAACAAAGTTTGTGATGCATGTGTAAAAGGCAAGCATGTTCGTTCACCTTTTAAATTGAAGAAAATGGTAAGCACTACAAAGCCTTTGGAATTGATCCATATGGATTTGTGTGGTCCCATGAGAATTCAAAGCAGGAGCGACAAGAAATATGTGTTGG